CCTACACAATGCGGGAGAAGAAATAATTATAATGAAAATAAGTAACAAATAAATAATACAAACAACATAATTATAATGTAAGTACGTAACAAATAAATAATACAAACAATAAATAATAAATTATGTAGGTAACAAATAAATAATACAAACAAATAATTATAATGTAAATTTGGGTATCAAATAAATAATATATTGTTACCTGATCCGAGTAATTTTCCCCACTTCGAATATTACTACTAGCTTGTGCCAAGGTGTCTTTCCACGTACTAAACGATTGGCTAAGTAATTTCCAACGACTGGACATCGATTCTTTGGTTCTTTTCCCACCAATTTTCTCAAGATAATTGGTACGAATAAGACTCCTCATTTCTCGCAACTGCATCTCATTACCCGTAAGCGAACTATGAGTAACTTCAACCCAGCTAGTACACAACGCAACATCTTCAATTAGCGACCAATTCGTACCTACACCAGTGGTCATTTTGTTGAAAAAAAAATGGATTCAAACTTTGAGACAAAGAAGGGAATGTGATTGAAAGTAGTTGAGAAAATATGAAATTGTTGTGTAAGGTAGATGATAATGAGAAGGAATTTATAGAAAAGTAAAAACAATTTTTTTTAAAAAAAATTTTAGATTTTTTTTTTTTTTAATTTTTTACAATTTTTTTAAAATTTTTATTCAATTAATTAATCTCTGCCGTTGGATATAAAAAAATTTGAATTTCAACACTCCAGATTGTGCCACGTGTCACAACGGTAACTTTTCTTAATTTTGAAACTCTTTTTTCTTTTATTTTTTTACTTATAAAGCATATTAATATCCACCGTTGATCTCAAATCGAACGGTAGATATTAAATAAGACTTTTTTATTTTTTTTGACCGTTGAGATCGAACGGTTCAAATTAAATAACCGTTGAGATCGAACGGACCGTGGGAAGCCACGTGGCTTCCCAACGGTAACTGAAAAAGTTTTTTTTTTTTCTTCTGATTTTGTGTTGGCGAAGCGCCCCCACGCGCGAGTGGGGTGCACGCGCCTGACACAAAAAAAATTAAATAATGCCTGATGCCAGGCTGACGTCAGCGCTGACGTCACATGGCCTCAGGCTCTCGGGCTGGCAATTCTCCACGGGCCCGGAGCTCGAGCCTCCACCTTCACTCGGGCTTGCCCACGCTGGAGCTGGTCCACCGGGCCTCGGGCCCCTGTTCTGTCCCCTGTCCCGCGAGCATTTGCCCACGCTGGGCTTGCTCTAAGACTTGGTGCCACTACGGCTGCTCTCTGCGCTGCCATTGCCATGGGGTCTATTGATGAGACTCTTCCTTTCTTCACACAGTTTTCCAATTCCAATCAAGTTCACATTTTATAAAACCTAATCAAAATAACATTAGTGACGATTTATTCTTGTTAGACAGATTGTATACATGTTTCATTTGAACACATCACTCATTGGATATGTAAATGCAGGTTTTTTGCGATAGCAATGGGTATATTGCGCGCCTACCTTCTCCTCTTCCTTCCCTTCTCCATAGTAACCATTATTCGTCCCCATGCAGCTGCTCCAAAGCTTGTCCTGCTTATTTTGACACCGTACGATTGCTTTTTCTTTCATATTTTATATAGTTTTGTAAAATACATAATCAGTACTTATATTAATCCGTACACATTGCCTCACATGTCTTGAAATGGAACTTACAGTTGGCGCTTGCTTAGAAACACTTCTGGTTCTGCCGCTGCCACTGCCATAGTTCACCTGGCCCATAATGGAAATTCCGATGCAAACTGGCTTGCTATTTGCCAACAATTTGGTGATTTCTGCCGGAAAACCAGCGGGGCTGTGGTTTTGGCATTCGTTGCAGTTGTTTTATCTTTGTAATCTTGATTCTGGTTTCCGCTTCTTCTCTCCGAAAAGTTTAACGTGCTTCAAGAAAGCTCCATAGTTAAATTAGTGAGTTATTTGCTTTCTCAACAGTTTAGCTTCTGCTTTCTCAGGCTTTTGATTTTGTTGTTGTCTTTGCAATTGATGTTAAATTGTTAATGCATATGATGTCGTTGCTGTCTTATGTATATACCATAAGAGCTGGTTTTGTAGAAAGATTTGGATTTATATCTTTGTGTTATTTTTTTGTTATTTGTTGGTTAAATTCTGCAATGCCGCCAAAGGAAGATGGAATCTGTGGAATTCTGCAAGAGCGTCAAAGCGAAATGCAGTTGCTCGGTTCAGATATGCCGTACATGTCGTATGAGTTATCAATCCAATCCGATCTTTTGAACCAAACGAGCCTTTAGGGTGTAAATTGACAAAATTGAAAGGAAGTGGCCCATTTTGATAAGCACCCCCAAACTTCAGGTGTGTAAATCGTCTTTTGCTTATGTTAGAGACCAAGCTTAAGCGGCCAATGCTTGTCCAAACCAAGCACCACTGTGAGTTACGTGGGTGACAACCATCTTAAACCAAGCATGAACAACTAATGTTTGCCCTACCAATTCACAACAACTTATCTACCCCAGCTCGATAACGACGAAGACAACCAAGAAACCAAGAATTCATAACTTCAACTAAAGAACACTAAAAAAAATAACTAGTACCAACAAATCCAAGAATAAAAATGAAATGAAGAATGAAAGAATAGAAGCGGAAGCCCAAAGAACAAAAATGTGAAGTGGAAGTCAAATCAAAATAAAAATGATCGCTCGATTAAACTTTAGCAGATTCTCAAGGATCTAACATGAGGAAAACCACAAAATATAGGGGTCAAATAGCAAATTCTCAACTGTATGATACAAAATACAGGGGTCAAATAGCAAAAAAAGTTAGTAGGAGGTTTCCTAGCAGGCAATGAGTGTGTTGACTGAAAAAACAGAGAAACTTTGGATTGACCAAAATTAAGAAAAACTAGAGAGACTTCGAAATTGACGGACTGATGAAAACAAACTTTCTCCCCCTCGACTCGACGTGAACGACCTGACGGACTCCTCTATACGGGCCCTCTAATCCCCTAGTTCCGAAAATGCCCTTGTATGTTCTCTTAAAACTCAACTGTACCATTTCCTTTCTTTTCTGCAGCTTTAACGAAGAAATTGCTAGGTGGGGACTGTGGGGGCTGCTGTGGGAGTAGGGTGGAGAGACCGAGCGAGCAAATGAAATGGAATAGGTCAGCAACATGTGACGTTCTAATTAAAATTTTATATATGCTAAAAAATTTATACATATCATTATTGTATTAGAATGAAATGCCGCGATACCATGTAAACCATACTCCACAGTAAGAGCCAAGCCAACGACTTCAACGTTGTACATGCTTGGATAAGAATTATATATGGTATTACACACCAAAAAAGAATATGAACATAAATCAATAGTAGAAATTTTATCCTTTTTTATTTTCAAATTGAGAATGATAAAAACAGACTTGTCTTAATCCATGATCTTGTTGATTCCACAAAATACTGAGAGAACAGAAGGGTTTATATTCCCTTTGGGTCTAAATGTCTACATACTTTTTTTTGTTTGAAAGGAATGTCTGCATACTTAAACACATGTGCCAACCAATTGTGTGGCGTTTTATCATAAAAAGTTTTTGTGCAATGAGATAGCTAGGGTTTTTAGCTTTTTCCCTTTACAATTTTTTTTTTTTTTTTTTAAAGAAGGCTGTGTTAAGTGAGATGACATCTTGACAAAGAGATAAAAATAAACCGATAACGTGAAATTATAGGTAACAGGAATCCATAAGAAAATAAGAGAAGACTTCAAAGTTTGTTATTGGATAAGGTAGTATTTTTTCTCACCACCCTTAACTGTGGTGCATGTTCATCATGTACTTAATCATCTGTCATGTGTCCTTTCACTTAATCTTAGTTAATTTTTTTTCAAAATTGAAAAAGTAACATTGCGAAAGTTAACTAGAGTTAAATGAAAACACATGACAAATGATGACTACGTTCAAATTAACACATGACAAATGATGACTACGTTCAAATTATAAGTTCGTTAACTTCGAAACAATGGGTCATGAGCCTAAGGGATGGTTTGGTATTGTTGTGCTTTGAAAAAAAACTGCTTCTGCTGTGCTATGAGAATAAGCCTATTTTTGCTGCTTCACGTTTTCAGCTTTTTTTCATCCAAAATTGTGAAAATAAGTTGTTTTTAAGTGTTTACCAAACATATTTTTGAGCTCAGCATTTTTTTATACCCATTTTTTATAAAAACACCTCAATACCAAATCAGTATTAAATAGGCACCTAAATCATGCAGTGTTTGAACATTATGGTCGGGTATTCACTTTTAATGTGATTCTTGATCCATTATCGTGAGATTATATGATGATTATATGGTGTTATGAATTCAGCCAATAGGTCAGTTTAAGGATTTTTTTTTCTACCAAATTCTAAAAATGTTATGTCCCTTAATTAAAATAATTTTTTTTTTACAACGATAACATTAACTGTTAGGAGGGGGGAGAATCCATGGGGATCGAAAAGTATCATCTGCAAAATAAATTTATATTAAATTGTTAACTTTTTTTATTCCACATTAATTTCCGCAGCAATAGTAAAGTATCATCTGTAAAATAAATTTATATTGAAGTACATAGCATCTTTTCCAAAATTCCTTAACCTGAATAAACCTTTACTTTTAGAAGGAAAAAAAAAAGGTTATTCACTTTATTTTAGCCTTAGGGTATTTTTTCTTCTTCAAACAAACGATATTATTTATACTAAAAAGATGGGAAATTGGGATAAGTTTCACAATGAGTTATAAATAATATGATTAAAATTCGCCGATATTAGATCTCATATATGTATTTCTTCTTTAATAAGTTAGTAACCACCAAATATTGACATTGACTTAGCTAGTTTCTTGGAAACCCAAGGGTAATCTTGTATCATAATGTCCAACCTACTTTCCTATATACTTCCTTCTTCCCCTCACATATTTCATATCTTTTCTTTCGCCAAACATTCCCTCTCTGAATCAAACTACCATTAAAAGAAAAAGCTACCATGGATAGAGAACAAGATGAATTGCAATTTCTTGGGGTTTTTGGCATCTACAAAGAAGCCTACAAAATAGTATTTTCACGGAGAAAAATCTTCAGCCAAATTACATTAGCCTTGATCCTCCCTTTGAGCTTCTTATTCTTGGCGCACATAGAACTCTCAAACATCCTTCTCTCAAAGATCTTCCACAACGAAATAGTCCTTGATGGAACAAGCACCAACAATCCAAAGTATGAAAAAGTATCCGATGCCATATCCTCCGAGTGGGCAACTTATTGGATATTCAAAGCTGCATACTTCACCCTCCTGCTCATCTTCAGCCTCCTCTCCACCTCTGCCGTTGTATACACGATCGCGTGTATATACACCGAGCAAGAAATCACCTTCAAGAAGGTGATGAGCGTAGTCCCGAAAGTGTGGAAGCGAGTTATGGTCACGTTCTTGTGCATTTTCATGGCTATCTTTTGCTACAACATAGTCGCTTTCCTAATCCTAATTATTTGGATACTTATTTGGATACTTACCGCACTTTCGATGGCCAAAGGCGATGCCATTGAAAAAATTGGGGTTTTTCTACTCATTGTTTACTTCATAGGGTTTGTTTACCTAACCCTAATCTGGCAACTGGCTAGCGTGGTCTCAGTTCTTGAAGAAGCTAGAGGGATCAAAGCCATGGCGAAGAGCAAGGCACTACTAAAAGGAAATATGTGGGTGGCTACAATCATATACTTTAAGCTCAATGTTTTGGCCGCCCTTCTACAATTTGGGTTCCAACAATTAGTTGTGAGCGGAAGGTCATTTGGTGTGGCTGAACGAGTAGCTTATGGAGTTATAAGCTTCTTGTTGCTTTCCAAGCTGGTTTTGTTTGGTCTTGTGATCCAAACTGTGCTCTATTTCGTTTGCAAGTCGTACCACCATGAAAAAATCGACAAATCGGCGTTATCAGATCACCTTGAGGTTTGTCTGCTGGGGAATTATGTGCCTCTCAGCTCTAAGAATGTTCAGCTTGAGCAAGTTTAATATGTTTGATCCAATTTCTGTAATACGTACATGATGTTGAAGTTCTTGACCTTTCCTTTTTCTGCATCTAAATTTTGTGGGTAGTGCTATCACATAATTCTTGATTTTGAGGTGATTTTTTTTTTTCAAACAATAAATTTTTTTATATTAGTCACCAACAGGATTCGAACCCCTGCCCTCATGCAAAGGCATGCTTTTTTTTTTTTTTTTTTTCTTTTGAATGTTGGCAATGACATTGGAAATTTGGAAGTGGATGCTTGAGGTTGGGTCCCCATATTTTATTTATATTGTATCATATAGGCTATATAAGTTAAAATTACTCAAAAGTGTTTGAATTCGGTGTTTCTTTTTAGTTGGGATTCTTCGTTAAGATGATCATTGAAATTGAAAATCGATCAATGTAATTCCTGAAAATGAGTGTCATAAATTCATGTAGTCATTGCATCATAATTTTGTTAAAAATTACGTTATGTACTAATGTAGCACATAACTAGGTCTCAGAAGTCTAATAAATATTACCATATATATTAAAATATTAAAAACTAATTTTTATTTTGTATAATTAAAAACTTAAAAAAAAAGAAGAAGAAGTTGTGTCTTCCCGAGTACAACAAATTTATATGTGCAAGTGCAACATCTCTAATCAAGATCTCATGCAACAGACTCCATGCTCGAGGAAATGAGCAACTATTAGAAGTTATGGATGAACCAGGATGAGATGGCACGGGGAAAATGAAGAAGATGAACCAGGATGTTACTCAAATTCAAAATTAGAATATTTCGAAATTTCAATCCAATGGAAGGTTTCCAGTGATTTGGTTGTAAGATAAAATCCAAATATTCGGCTTTGGAAGATAATTTCAAGAACCAGTGCCTTGGTATAGAACCGGAGATTCCAGTACCCCGAAGTTTGATGAACACTAGTTCAGTTTTCTTACGACCAGTGAGGTTCATGAAATGGAACACCGATGGGTATCTAGGGGTGGGTATGGATCCGCTCTATCAATAAAAAAAAATAAAAAATAAAAAAAATAAAAATTTAAATGATCTGTTCATTTCTTGGGTCAGCCTCCTAGGAGTCCTAGGGTTTTAGAAAGATAAAATGGTTTCCTTGGTAATGAAGGATCTGTCTGATGGTAAGTAATAGGAAATTAAAATTAAAATTAATTATCCTTTTGATAGGTAGATGAAGATGAAGGATCTGTTATCTCTCCTGGGTCTGCCTCCCAGCGAGACGATGACGGAGCTCTTTTCTCGTTATTTAAGTTTTTAATTACACAAAAATAAAAATTATTTTTATTATTTAAATATTTTTAATTCATGTGACAAATATGTAATTAATTTGATATGACCCAATTATGTGCCAAGTTCAACAAATTACTCAAAACATCCATGGCATGGTCCAGTTCTGTAACTACATATATTTACTTTTTGTGAACTGGAGTGGAGCACATCCCAAACGAACTACATCGCCACATGTATACAATTATGACTCCTATAATAACCCCTAACACCAAAATGATTTTGGTGACAACACAATTTTTTTTTTTTTTTTTTTTTTTTTGTCTAAGACTTCTCAATGTGTACGCATTGCCTTATAACAACGAAAAATGCCTAGGCTGGGGCTAAAATATTTCCTCTATCTCATGCTTTCCGTTGGTCATCAACCAACCACATCCTTCTTCTTCACTACGCGTACAGGATGATAAGAACAACTTGCTTTTCTAAAAGGATCTTTTTTTTTTAATTTATGCGGTGTGGATTGGTTTCAGATGTTCAAAACCAAAACCAAACCATTTCATCTTGCGATTCAGTTTCAAACTGAAACTGTTTAAAATTGCAAAAAATTAACCGTTCAGTGTTGTCTAGTTTGGTTTATGTTTCGACAGAGAGATTGGATACCGAGTTTAATTTGAAGTTTTAATTTATGTTGTGTGGTTCGGTTCGTAAGTTTCTTTATAAATGTATTGGTACATAAGTTTTTGTACGAATTATATCGATACATAAGTTTTGATACAAATGTCTAGGTAACATAACTATAGTACATATATAGATACATTCTATGCGTATACATATATAGAGAAATTCACGCACAAAAAGAATAGATTATAATATATAACATTCCTTATTATGAAAATAATTATCAGTGATGAATAACTTTTTTACTGTTTATGGAAATCAATTTATAACCTAGACACAAAAAGCTCATATAATTATTTGAACCTAATTAATATTCGAATATCACAATTAAATGCCAAGGTTTTTAGGGCTAGTTTGGTATTATAGTACTTAAAAAAAAAAAAAAAAAAAAAAAAAACTGTTTTTGTTGTCCTGTGAGAATAAATAGGTGTAAAATAAAGTTGTTAAGTATTTGGTAAATTATTTTTTGTAAAAGTACTTTTAATAAAAAAAACAGTGTTTGAGTATTTGGTAAACTTTTATATAAATTACTTTGAATATGTTAAACGACTAAAAATGATATAGTATTTAATGCAATATAATAATTATAAAAGAAAATAACATAGGGAGATTGTAATTTTGTAAAACATGTGGGGGTATACTTGTCATTTGAAAATTTCATTAAATGAGCATTGATTATTATACTTTGAAAAAAAAAACATTTTTTTAGAAGCATGATAAACTCTGCTTCTGCTTTTTTATGTTTATCTTCTTTTATTGACAGCAACTGTTATAAAAAAATAATAAATAAATTTATTACCAAACACATTTAATGTTTCAAATTTTTTAATAAGTCGTTTTAAAAGCCCCTTTTTAAAAACACCACAATCTCAAACCAACTCTTAACCTTATACACGATATTATTCTAGAAGTGATATTTTTTAAGGATTGGAATATAATTTTCTTGAGTTCACAAATATGCCCTGAGAACGAAGCAAGCCACCATCGATCCAAACCAGCAAACAACAGTCCCCGAGTTTATCTCATCATCAGTCAGTTACTTTTCTTGTTCTGATTCAAAGCAAAACTTATGTCATCTGCTATATTTCGCGCATCAATTGAAATGCCAAATAATCCGCGCCTTGAGAATCCTGCACAGTAAAGTCCCTTCTCCGCCTTCCAGTGATTCGGGAAACTTTGCTTCGGCATACCATTGTCATTAAAAAGTTGGTCACCATCCTGCAACACATGTAAATAAAAATTAAATAAATTTAGAATAGAAATACATGTGCGAGTTTGTAGTGCCGATAACGGCTCCAATAAATTGTTGTAAACCAAAAAATAAAAATAAAAATGTGGAACCTCTTATAGAGGCTTATGGCTCCAGTGATAGAGCGGGTGATTTCCTAATGGACGCATGGCAAGAGTTCATAATTAATTCATACCTTAAGCCAATTTAGCACAGTGCTTTTGTAGCCAGTAGCAAAAACAATAGCATCATAATGGTTGCTGTAGCCATTCTCAAATTTGATCTGGTTTCTTAGTATTTCTGTTATTGATGGAACCACCTGGGGAAGATTTTCGTCATTAAGCAATCATGTGAATGATAAAAAGGCAGAATGCAATTATTGTTGTCTGACTGTTAATCTTAAAAATTATATAAATTCTTGCCTAGTTACATGGTGCAGGATTAAATGATCCCATAACGAAACACAATTAGAAGGACAAGTTATATATGTGTTATAACTTGTATTACTATGTAGTATGAGGTTAAATTATTCATGCATGCAAACCTTTATTTCTCCATCTATGATCTTGTTAATGCTCCCAACATCAATGATGGGGGCTTGACCCTCGTTTTCCTTAAGAAAGAATGGTCCAAGTTTTGGCCTTGTAAGTCCATACTTGGATAAATCTCCGAACTTCAACTTCCCTAAGATAACCACGATGTTGTCAAGGACTTTAATGGGAAGGTATTTTGCGAGAACCATTCCCAGGAACACAATTTCCTTGGTCAGAATATGCACCTGAAAATGTTACATATTGGTAATAAATAATGTACAAAAGAAAAGAACTGAAACTTCTAAGGAAATTGTAACAAATAGTATTTGTTATACAATAATTTGGCCACATAAAACTAATACAATTGCTTACGCTGTCTCTAATAGATCGTGATCCCTATTATTGTATATGCATGGAACCACCTATATTATTGGAGAATGTGAAAATGAGAGACAGATATTTATATTACCGGGCTACGAACAACAATCGAAGTGTTGGCACCCCAATTTGTTAAATCGTAAGCAATTTCCATGCCTGAATTCCCAGAACCGACGACCAAAACATTTTTTCCATCATATTTCTTGCCATTTTCGTACTCGCTGGAGTGCACGAACTCTCCTTTAAAGCTATTCAAGCCTTTGACTTGAGGAATGTAACCTTCACTATTTTCACCACTTGCAACCACAAGAAATTTAGCAAGGTACATTTCTTGTACATCCGAAAGTGTGTTATGGACTCTAACACACCATTTTTTTTCACCTACATAAGAAGCTGTTTCTACAACTCGGTCGTACCGAGGCGTTATCTTGAAATGGGATACATAAGATTCCAAGTACTGAACAAACTCATTCTTGGAGAGATATCTGGGATAATTTGGAGGAAATGACATATAGGGTAGTTCACAAAATTGCTTTGCCAAGTGAAGCTTTAAACGATCATATGACCTTTTCCTCCAAAGAGAAGCATATGAGTCTTCTCTTTCGATTACAACATTTGAGATGTTGAGGCGATTAAGACATGCAGACGTTGCTATGCCAGCTGGACCGGCACCTACAATGACCACATCCACCTCTTCCATTTTAGGCAATGAAAATGTCTGGTCTTAGCTAGGTTAAAGTGTTTTGACAGGGTTTGCGAAGGAAGAAGAGACTTTGAGATGGTCTATAATTTTTGTTACATAGCCTTATTATATACCACAACATTTGGCTGGCAAATTTTGTCATGCAGTGGTATAGTTGGTATCATTGTCCGCAGGATTCGGACTTCCATATAAAATATAATACAACGTACACTATATAACATTTGTTCACTTTGGATTAATATAATTTAAGAAAAATATCTGAAACACTGTGAGTAAGATTTCGTAATTATAACTTGCAATGTCCACCATGCCAAATGCATCCAGCCGCAGTACTGCTTGATTACATTTCCCTCGTTTCCAGACAAATCATATATATCAAATGGTACGGGGATCCAAAAATTAATAATCTCCAATAAAGGAGGAAGATAAGATCCTTCTTAATTTATCAAGTTTATTCATCCATTGAAGAAAGGAGGAATCAAAGCTACCCTTGTACGTATCTGCTCAGAAAGGGGGGGGGGAAAGTTAGATTCATCTTTAATGAAATTTCCACATTTTGTTTTGGTAATAGATTTTCTTTTCTTTTTCTTTTGTAAAATCAATGGTTTACAAAGGGTTTGGTTTCATTTAACCTTTTATGGTTGTATATTTTGTTGAATGGTTGTAATTTTTGGTTAACAGATATGATGCTTACTCAAATTGTATGAGTAGAATTAAAAGACGTAATTAGTCAATATTTATTTTCTGAAAATTCTAAATAGAAGACATGTCTTTTGGGTCAACACTATTAAAAAGGGTTGTATATCTTCAACTAAAATGAAAGGACTCGATGAACGGATGCTATAATGTCTATAAATACCTATTGTGGCATAATGTTTCACACACAATTTCAGAAATTTGTTTCTACATTCCTTACTCTCTTCTCTTTCCATCACATTCATAAAATTTCTTTCTAGTTATTTCTAAGGGAATATAATTCGGTTTTGCTAATCGAATATTCCATATTTTGATGTATCCTGAAAGTGATTTGTCAAGAACCCTTTAGCAAACTCATTCGAGTGGGGGCAAATAACACTTTAAGGAAACAATTCAAGTCGTACCTCAAAGTCATCATTTGGATTATTCTCTATATTTCTACATTTATTCTAACAATCTTAAAGTGTTATTTTCATCATGGAGAACAAGTCTGATAACATGGCTTTGAAGATTATCAATCAAGATGTCCACAAGCTAGACAAATTTGATGGATTCACTCGATGGAAGGACAAGATGCGTTTCATGCTTATTGTTCTAAACGTCATATATGTGTTGGACCCGAAATTGTAGCCTATTCATGAACCAAGTGACAAAGACACGGAAAAAATAGTTGCCGATCGAAAGAAGTGTAAAGAAGATGAATTGGTACGTAGATGACACATCTTGGGCACATTATCTGATCGCTTATGTGACCTGTACGCACACATTCAATCTCCAAAGGAAATTTGGGAAGCACTTAAACACAAGTACACAACGGAGAAAAGATGTACCGATAAATTTTTAATGTTCAAATATTATGAGTTCACTATGATTGAGAACAAACTCATCCTAGACCAAGTTCATGAATTATTGGTCTAAGTCTCAAAGCTTCGTGGACTTAAAATAGTTATTTCGAATCCTATGATAGTTGGGGCTATTATGGCAAAATTACCCCAAACATGGAATAACTATAGAAAGAAACTTCTACACATGGTAGAAGATATTACTTTGGAGGATTTGCAAAAAGGTATTCAAATTGAAGAGCAAACTTGAAATCGTGATAAGAATTTTGCAAATCAAGATTCCTCTAAAGTTCACGTTGTCGAAGGAAACAATTACAAAAAGAACTTCAAAGTCAAAATTGACAAAGGGAAGTGTAAGAAGATCAATTCCAACAAACAATCAAGAATGCACATGGTGTCTACTACCATTGTGGAAAGAAAGATCATTACATTTGTGATTGTAGACATAGGAAAGCCAGTGAGGAATATGCCAATAAGACCAATAATGCAAACATTTAATGGTGTTTGGACAAGAGCAGGAAAAAGATAATTTATCACATTTATAGATGATTGCTCTAAGTTCACTTATGTTTATTTATTGTCTAATAAAGATGAAGTTTTTGAATGCTTTAAGCACTATAAGGCTGAAGTTAAAAACCAAAAAGGAATGAAAATTAAATGCCTTCATAGTGACAGAGGTGGTTAAAAACCAATAAGACCAATAATGCAAACATGGTGGAAAATTCTGGAATTGATAACGTCATTGCAATGCTTTGATTGCTTGCGTGCGTACACTTGGTTTGATTGCTTGCAATGATCATTATAATGATAAATATGAAACATGTATTCAAGCAAAAATGACTAAGAAACATTTTTCAACTGCTGAAAGGAAGACAAATTTATTAAACTTAATAAATTCTGACATATGTGAATTTAATGGTGTTTGAACAAGAGCAGGAAAAAGATAATTTATCACATTTATAGATGATTGCTCTAAGTTCACTTATGTTTATTTATTGTCTAATAAAGATGAAGTTTTTGAATGCTTTAAGCACTATAAGGCTGAAGTTAAAAACCAAAAAGGAATGAAAATTAAATGCCTTCATAGTGACAGAGGTGGTGAATATTTTTCACATGAATTTGAATTTATTTGTGAAGAGCATGGTGTTGTGTTATACATCAAAGAACTACACCCTATACACCACTACAAAATGGTTTGGTAGAAAAAAAAAATAGGATACTTATTAAGATGATTAATTCTATGATGATTAATGTTAATACTCCTAAATATTTATGGGGTGAAGCATTGTTTACTGCATGCCATATACACAATAGAATTACATATATGAAGACACATGTGTCACCATATGAAATTTGGAAAGGAAGAAAACCAAATTTGTCATATTTGAGAGTATGGGGTTGTGTAACTTTTTATAAGGCACTCGATCATATGAGATCAAATTTGGGTCCAAAAGGAATTAAAAGCATATTTATAGGATATGTAGAAAATTAAAAGGCATATAGGTTGCTTTTTAGACTCAAATACAATAGTTGAGTCTAGAGATGTCAAAGTTATACAAAATAAATTCTATAATGACTACTCAATGCCTGAAAAAGAGAATGATCAAATACCTTTCTCTAATCCGGCAATTAGTCCTTCTCAATGTGAGAAAAAAAAACAGTTTGAAACTGCTAATGAACTAAGGAAAAGCCAAAGAGTAAGAAAAGAAAAGACTCTAAGCCCTGATTTTATTTCGTCTCAAGTTGAAAAATAATTGTCATGCATGCTGAGTAAAAATAATTGAATGTTGAGGATAATCCTAAAAGTCTAAGTCTTGAGTAAAAAAAAATGGAGTCTGATGTATTTAAAAAATAATTGTCATGCATGCTGACTTACGAAGAAGCTAAGTCCAAATATCAAAAACTATATTTGCTCATAGGTGCTGCACAGCAGCTGTACTTGATCAAAAGTTAAAAGCAACAGCCATGCTTGAATAATGGTACAGCTATATACTGAGAAGTAGACCCCTGTCTCCCATCTTGGACGGATTTTGATTTGTCATGTTAAAAAGAGAATCCACAGTACCGCGTCCGGGAAAGGACTGCTCACTAGTTTTTGCATGAATTTGGATGCCTGTGTTGAACAAAAATAAAAAAAGAAAAAAAGAAAAAGAAAAAGAAAATAAAAGAAGACACGTATTTCTTCCTACAAAAGGGGGAAAGTAACGTGGAGCGAGATTCCCTATTCTTCTCTGCAAGACGTGGAAAGTTACACAGTTAGTGGGAGAGGTTAAGAGAAAATGGCGAAAGATATGGCCTCTATCTTCCCCACGTAAAAGCTACAGAGACTTCATATGATGCCTATCAATAGGCATCAGTCACAGTAAGGAGGGAAGAAGATAAAAAAAGAAGAAGGGAGACTCTGCAGAAATTGAGAGAAAAGATTGCAACGAAGGAGAGATACAGAAACTCTGGGGCACAAAGAGAGAGCAAACAGAGAAGAGGATACACGGCAAAGGAAAGCAACAAAGCATTTAAAGGTGCTAATCTATCCTTCTAAATTTTTCTTTCGTTTGGTTTCTCTCGGTTTCGCAGGAAATAAAGAAGCAATTTGCTTCTCCAACCTCTCCTATTCCCCAACGTCTTCTAAGTTGCAGCCCAATAAACCGCAACAAAACCACATCTCTCTACCGCCGCAGCGATATACAATGGAGATTCTAGCAAAACACGCTGATTGGATTCAACCCAATTTCAAAAAAAGAAGAACCAGTCGCATGGGTGCCTAAAGAAGTTTAAAAGTATGACTTGCATGGGAGAACAACGCCAACCCACTGTGCATGGTGATGGCTCCGAAGCTTTCTCTCTTTTCACGGCAAACTGGAACCGGAGGACTGCCTTCTCGCTTGGACTTTGACAATAGCCCGATGCGACGCCGCCGGACACCACCATTTCAACAACACCAACGGCCACTGCAGCCACGCCGTCCTCCAGCCTAGCGTCACAGCATGCTCTATTCTCTCACCGACGGCGTAAAAAAAAAGGTGGTCATAAACGAAGTCCTCCGCCGTGAGAACAACAACCGCCGACATCAAACGGAAGTCTAACGGACTTAGTAGCCGCATCATGTCTCCAGACATGGTCTCCGGTTGGCTTCCAGAAGGAGCCCATGCACTCTGTGACTTGAAGGAGATGGATTTGGTGATGCAGTGCCGCACAAAGTTAGAAGAGACCGAAAAGGTCGCGACAACGGAGGAGAGAACAACTTCCGCCTGACGACAGAGGAAACTACAACAAGCAATGATCTCGCCGAGCCATTACTGACCCAGTACGGAAGCCATCGAAGACCCGGTCACCGGGAAGAAGATCGTCGAGTCGTCGTCCGCGTTGCCCAATAATGCAGGCCTTGTCCTGTAAAAAGCAACCAAGGAACAACCTCAACATTCTGTGCACCAAGTCGTAGAAGATAGTTCTCTACAAGCA